CATATCAACACTCTGAAGACGCAGGTCAGCTACTACACTGAGCGTCTGTCCCGCGCTGCTAAAGAACGCTCTACAAATGCATTGGAGAGGACCCTCGCAATCCTCACTGACAAGGTCAGGACCACTTGCAGTTTGTTTATTGTCTGTCTGATCATGCATATTGCACAGAAATCTGTCATGAGCTCGCTGAGATTGTCATGTCCAGTTTGATTGACAGGCTGAAGTCAGAACTATTACCCCCTGAATTATTAGCCACCCTGTTTATTTTTTCCCCCAATTTCTGTTTAACAGAGAGATTTTTTCAACACATTTCTATACATAATAGTTTTGATAACTCATCTCTAATAACTGATTTATTTTATCTTTACCATGTTGTTGGTACATAATATTTTATTAGATATTTTTCAAGATAATAGTATTCACCTTTAAGTGACATTTAAAGGCTTAACTAGCTTCATTAGGCAAGTCAATGTATAATGATGGTTTGTTCTGTATCGAAAAAATAATGCTTAAGGGGGCTAATAATGGGCTAATAATATTGATCTTAAAGGGTTTTTAAAAAAAATAAAATCTGCTTTTATTCTAGCCAAAATAAAACGAATAAAACTTTCTCATCAAGAAAAAATATTACTGGAAATACTGTGAAAAAATCCTTGCTCTCTTAAACATCAATTGAAAAAGAAAAGGAAAATTCACAGGCAGGCTAATGATTTGGACTTCAACTGTATGTGAATTATTTCTTGTCTGTTGTAAAGCGTATGCAACATACTGTTATTCAATAAATTATTTTATATCAGTCAATCAATGCATGAAGCTTATCAACTATCTTATTTTGCTGTCCCACAGAGGAGCGCCAGTACCGCTGTGAGGACTGTGACCTGAACTTTGAGTCTGGTTCGGAGCTGTTGGACCATCAGAAACACGCGTGCGGGACTCCTCCATCCTCTGGCTTCAAGTTGTCTAAGCAGGGTTTGCCCAGCGCAGACGATGACACTGATCTAGAGCCACTTCACCTGCACACTCTTCCTCCAAACTTGCCACGCTCACCACAGGAGTGCAAAGAGTGCGAGCAGGTCTTTCCTGATGCCCAGAGGTGAGAACACCACTATTTTGGTTTAGTTTCTTTGTAGACATATCCCGAGATATATATTCTTACCCTACTAGTTTAAAGGAGAATTCAGAAACTGTTGGTAGTAGCAGCACCGGTGGACGTTGAGTGAACTGCAGCCTGCAAACTGCACTGTAAAAGATGTTGGGTTCCACACGGTTTGTGTTGGAACAACATGAAATAATTAAGTTAACATATTAAAAAAACAAATGTAAGTAAATTGAACATAAAACAATTAAGTTGTCCTCAAAATTTAGGAATTGTGTTCTCTCAGCTTATTTTAAATAAGTAGTTTGGACAAACAGTTAATGTTTTAGAGTGTACTGCTTATTTTCACGTGTGCACCTGTAAAGCCCAAAAGACTTGATTCAGTGCTCTGATATACTCAAGACAAAATCTATTCTTTTATTAGAAGTAAAAAGAAGATAAAAATAAAAATTCACTAGTTATGTAGTTACTGTATATCTGTAACATGCTTTGTTATTCATCAAAATTACAATAGCTAACAAAGTCATAAGTCCAATGCACTCAAAAAGTAAGTGAAAAAGTTACAATTTTAAATTTGTAGTGCTTTGGACGTATGATTTTGTTGTTTATCTTTATGAATCCTTCATTCAAAGAGCACATTAACTAACCCTGAAGCACTTTTTGTTTGATTTTGGATTCATAAATAATAATGATTAGGTACTATACTTAAATTACGTATCCACTGAAGTTACTTTTATTACTTATAAAAGTATTAATTATTATTATTAGGGCCAAATAGAATCTGCGAACATTTTTGTTATTTCATGCGGAATTGTTTCGGGAGTATCTTAACTAAAAACGTAATATATGAAATGAAAAGGAATAGCTTTTTAACTTTAATGTTTACAATGCAAATCCATCTAGATCTACTAATTTGGTAAACAAAGCAAGTTTTTCATATAAATTATTTACTAAAAGACAGAAAATATTACAAACTGTATTATAAATAAATCTAATAAACACTTTCATATTAGTCAATAATATTACTGAAATGAATTGAAAAACTGAATAAATATATATTTACACACATTTACACAAGAAAATAAATAAACTCTGTTATGGGCTAAAAATGTGCAGAAATCTGCCCATTTCTGCGTCCACAGATTCTGTGTGGGCCTAATCAGTACTTATAATGTATATGGCTTAATTACTGTGCATGTAATAAACACAGAAACAGTAATTGTTGTTGTTTTTTGTTTTACAAATATATATTTTTATTATTTTTTAAGAAGAGAAAGTCACATTACCCATCAGATTACCTATACTTAAAAAAAATAATTAGTGCATGACAATAGATGCTATAATTTCAGAGAAGCTAAGTCATTTTGTGTATATACATAATATTTTCAAACGTTTCATGTTTTGAACTTTTTTTTTTTCATTTTAAATAAAATGATTTTTCGTCTATGCAAATTTAGTAGAATTGAGTCAAGCAATTTAGTTACTTATTGAATAATTAGATTGCTTTACAGACAAATTAATTAAAAAAAATCCATTAAATTACTTTTAATGATGTAATTAGTAACGAATAAATATTTTTTAAAGTAACTTACCCAACACTTTTTGAGAGTGACGTTTAGATGAATGTGTAACCTGTAAATTATTAATACCTTCCTGTATATTTTTAAGACACTGTCACTTTATAAAAATTATCATATTTACAAGATTTGGCACTATATCGTGTTTTACATTACACTGTATTTTTTGCACTATAAACTGTCTTACATCTGCACAACTCTGGTTTGCACTCCTTTCCATATGCCCTTAGGTGTTATGTACTGTTTACAAATTAAAATTTTTTACTTATATTTTTAGATTAGATCATATGTATAATTGTATTTATTGTAACTTCTTTTTAAAACTTTTTTTTGTATCAATTATCCATTAGGCACCTAGGGTCTGAGAGTACCACAGTTTCGATTCTCTGTATGTCCTGTACATGTGGTTGAATTGACAATAAAGCTGACTTTTGACTTTGAACTCTAATCATAATTTGCTTAAAAACTGGAATTCAGCAAGATTTGGCTCTCGTTTATTAATGAAAGTTGATCAAATCAGGCTTTTGTCTAATCCTGACTCGTTCTTTGGCTCTCAGTTTGGACACTCACTCTCTGTCTCACTCGGACGAGCGGGAGTACAAGTGCGATCAGTGCCCGAAGGCCTTCAACTGGAAATCCAACCTGATTCGCCACCAGATGTCACATGACAGCGGCAAGCACTATGAATGTGAAAACTGCTCAAAGGTAGAGTCCAGACATTAACAAAGATCTGTGTTTTTATATGTGTGTGTCTCTTTAAACAAACCAATTGTGAAAAGCTGAAATGTAAAGGCATGTTTATACAGACCATAATAAATCTATATTTAGAAGTTAATACAGTTCTAATACAGCAATAGTTAATACAGTTACAACTGTAGTATAATATAGTTATAATACAGTTTAATACAGTAATATACAGGTAATACATTTATATTCAAAAATACAGTTAAAGTATGTCCATTACCATTTAAGGTTTGGCTTATTTGAACAAATTTTAAGCACAAATCAAATTGCAATATCAGTCAGAAAACTGGTAATTAGATATTTTTGTCCTTTATTAAGCAGCATTATGCAATTTTGTGGAAACAAAATCAAAATAAACATGGATTTCCAAGTGCAGCTTTAGCAAACAATACCTTGAAAAAGAAAATGAAATGAAATCTACTGTAAAGCCACTTGCTTGGCTCTTTGGTGGTTGTTAAGTGCTTTAACAAAGCTTGGATGAATGAATTATATTGAGAATTGTGATCATTTTGGTCACTATAATCGTGATGTGAAAATAGTATAACGTTTACTTCTCTAATTGAGATCCACTCCAATCTATCCCGCCGTCTGTAGGCTGTGTATGTAAACTTTCTCCCTATCTTTTTCTCTCTTTCCCCAGCAGGTGTTCACAGACCCCAGTAACTTGCAGAGGCATATCCGCTCTCAGCACGTAGGGGCGCGAGCTCACGCCTGCCCCGACTGCGGAAAGACCTTCGCCACCTCTTCAGGCCTTAAACAACACAAACACATCCACTCTTCCGTCAAGCCCTTCATATGTAAGTCACTCAGACCCTTCATATGTAAGTCTGCATGCTTTCTACTCTGAATACCACACCACACAGCCGGAGAGCTCCAACGTCACTTCTCAAATTTCCTGCCAAATTTTGCATTTTTTGATTGTAGATTCTAAATATCTCTAACAGCTGTTTTAAATGTTTAAATCTGGTATAATTAAAGACCAGTATAGCTTCAAAGCACTGTGATTCACTTTGAATAAAAGTGAAATGAATAAATACATTCAAGGTTTTTGTATTTTGAAAGACAGATGGAGCTCTCTGGCTGGCCTGGGTTTATCCAGCAGTTATGTTGAAATCAGATCTGTCCATCATCCTTGCTGTTTTTAAAGTCAACATGAAACAGCATTTGCGTCCCATTTTGCTTCCATTATGATTTGTATGCCAATATGACACTAGTTTGCCAAAAAAAAAAACTAGTGTATTCATCCAGGAATTCATTGAATTTGAAAAGTTCCTGTCAGAATACCGAGGTCAATTTGATTTATCTTTATTTTTATCTTTTAAAAAAGCTAATTATCAGTGAAAAAGCTCGTTAAAAGTGTCGTGCATTATATCCAGAAATATGAGGTATTATATCCATTACTACAAGAAAAGGTACATTTTGATTTCATGTTGTCTTTAACAGAGGATACTGAAATTATTACTAATCTTTAAAACAAATTCAGTTAACTAATCTTTAACTTAATACAGATGTGTTATTCTGGTTTCATTTACTGTAACCTGAAGTTGCTTTTTTTTACAGGCTGTGCTTTTTGGATGCACATTGTTTCTTGATTTGTACATATGTTTGTGTGTGTGGTCTCTGTCCATCTGTGTTTTGGTTGTGATTGTTCACTTTCAAACATCTGACTCTTCTGTTTCTTGATCAAATCTACTGTAAATATTGTAAAAATGTACAAGTAAAACTACCTTTGTTTATTCAAACTAAAAGTCAAGTTCTTATAATCATACCTTTCAGAACCTTAGGTACTAGAGATGGAAAAAACCAAACATTTCCAAATAATTGCTTCACAAAATGAATTTAATCTGAAACACCCTATGCTAGGGACACCTGGTGTTCAATACTGTGTAAATGCAACAAAAACTCAAACCTTGCATTTGATTTTTCAAACATATTGTTACACTTATATTAAAAGTATGACTCTTAAATGCACTTAGCTTTCATTTAATATCATTAAATATTTAGTGTCTGCATACAACTGCATGCATTCTACGTTTTCGAGGCTTATATATGGTTTGTTTCATTTTGGGATCTACTAAAGAGATTAAGTGAAACCTCCAATAGTATCTGGGTGCAGATTTGGCTCCATATCTCAGACTTGCACAATGCACTCAATGGGGCTAGTGACGTCACTGTAGGGGTTAGGGCTGCACAATTATTCGAAAAAAAAGACCGTGATCTCGATTCGACCCTACACACCATCATAATTCTGCTTTTCTATGATTCAGCCAATTGTATTTTCAAGATCAGGAGAGAAGCATAAAGGCAGTCACAATAGTCTTCACATACATACATACATGCATAAATATCATACCATATCATAACATTATATACATTTCTCAGCAACATGGACACCTCAATGTATGTATAATATGTCATCTGGTAAAATATGTAATCTTGAAAATTAAATGTCGCAATGTCAGTTTTTTTTTCTTCAGTATCATACAGCCCTAATATTTACCCTACATTTCCATACAATGCATGTCACTGCCCCAGCTCTGCACTCTCACTTCCAATGCACGACCTCTGACCTCCAGCCTCATATGCGATTGACCTCAACTCTTAATCTCATCCTGCATAAAAAGAGCTCTCATGCCCTCCATAACGATTTAAACGTCATAAAGCGTACAGCGACCTCTGAACTTTGCCCGATTGAACTTCATGCATTGACCCTCGGAATGCTGATCCCACACAGCTCGAGTAGACGATCCCCCCCAACGCCACCACAACATATCAGACAGTAACTAGCCTGCTAAGTCTGGCCATTCCTGGAAAATCACTACCACATGCAGCCTGCTTCATACTGAGACAAGCACACAGTCATTTACAGCAATCAGCATTTGAACAAGCACAGCTAACAACACTTAATGACCTCGCAAACACACACACACACACCGAGTACACCACACACATGCACTTGGATTCGTACACAAGCTCTGTGTTGCCCTCTCAGTGTTATTTTTAGAGTTTGTCAACAAAATAAATGAATATAATATACCTACATTGAATTTTACTGCTTTTTAGCATTCATAATTGGTCATTTATTGTAGCTATAAATTACCATTAACATTTACATGTATGCTTTATTACTTAAACAAATGTTGAAAAAAAGTATTGCTAATTATGCTAAAGTAAAAGAGAATATCAATTTGTTTTAAACAAACACTCAAACACATTCATATTCATACAGCACATTCACCGGCTGTTCACTGTGGAATGTGTTGGTAATATTTCCTTATGGTTTATTAAGAGCTGACAGAACACAGCACTCTAAAGTGCCCACGGATCTTCCACACACACTCCCCATATTTCACACCTGTTCATCCGAGTGTGTCCAGTTGTTCACAATTATATAAGTGTGTTTGTTTGGATATATGTCTGCTGGGCTTCCTGAAGCTCTAATATCTGAGCAGTAATATATATATATATATATATATATACACCATTGAAGTCAGAATTATTAGTCCCCCTCTGAATTTTTTTTATTATTTTTTAAATATTTCCTACATGATGTTTAACAGAGCAAAGAAATTTTCACAGTATGTCTGATAATATTTTTTTTTTCTCGAGAAAGTCTTATTTCTTTTATTTTGGCTGGAATAAAAACAGTTTTTAATTCTTTAAACACCATTTTAGGGACAAAATTATTAGCCCCTTTAAGCTATATATTTTTTTCTGATCTACAGAACAAACCATCATTATACAATAACTTGCCTAATTACCCTAACCTGCCTAGTAAACCTAATTAACCTAGTTAAGCCTTTAAATGCCACTTTAAGCTGTATAGAAGTGTCTTGAAAAAATATCTAGTAAAATATTATTTAATGTCATCATGGAAAAGATCAAATAAATAGGTTATTAGAAATGAGTTATTAAAACTGTTATGTTTTGAACTGTGTTGAAAAAAATCTTCTCTCCATTAAACAGAAATTAAGGAAAAAAAGACACAGTGGGGGGCGGCTAATAACTCAGGGGGGCTAATAATTCTGACTTCAACTGTATATATATTTTTCAAGACACTTCTATACAGCTTAAAGTGACACTTAAAGGCTTAACTAGGTTAATTAGGTTAACTAGGCAGGTTAGGTTTAATAGAAATAGAATAGAAATAGCAAGTTAATAGAAAAGATACTAGTATCTAAAAAAAAACCACTAGTAACATGAAAATATATGTATGAGTTATAGATTAAAAGTCAAAACGGCTTGCCATAGTAAGAGTGTATGTCTGAACAAGCACCTACTTAAAGGGATGGTTTACCAAATAGTTAAAATTCTGTCATTATTGGCACACCCCTTTGTTGTTCGAAACCTACAAACATTTCTTCTTGTGGATCTGTTTTTTTTTTTTTTTTTGTCTATATTCAAAGTCAAATGGCTCCAGTGTTGGTTTTAACTCGGAAAAAAAGTGCTTCAGAATATCTACTTTTGTGTTCCAAGGAAAAAAGAGAAAGCCTTACTTTGTAATGACATGAAGGTAAATAATAATGACAGAATTATCATTTTTGGAGGAACTCTCTCTTAAGTCGTCCTCTTACTCTGCACTAATATTTACATCCCATCTCTTGATCAGTCTTTGTAAGTGACCGACTCCATAAACACTTCCAGCGGTTGAACATCCTCTCATTCCACACCTCACACTTCATGCAGTTTGACAAGGATTACCAAAACCACCCGCTAGACTTCCATAAATTTAGAAAAATGTCACGTTTGCAATAAGATATGTAATTATGATGAAAAATGCGAGTGTTTAAAAGGCTTCGTTTCACACTAGAGGTGTTAAGTTGGTAATGTATAGGGTGATTTGATCACTTTCAGAGTGTGTGTTAAGGATTTAACTGTTTACATTTGCGCGAGGACGGAGTGTGTGCAGTGACATGAACATTAAGAGTTTAGGATCCATCATGAGTTTTAGAATTGTTGTTTGACGACGATGAATTGTGTGTAATGATGTAAGATGTGTGTTTGTATGATAGACAGAGACGTCGCTTGGTCCATGGGAACGGACCTGAGGGAGAGGATTCATTCAACTCTGTTTCCTTCTCACGCTTAAAATAGAGCCATTGTATGTCCTTGTCTCTGTGTATGTGTGTGTGTGTGTGTGCACCTGCGTGTGACACTGCATTCTTTTATCTGCCACCCTTGCTTATCCTGCATTTTTGTTTGTTTTGTGAATGGATGTGTGTGTGTGACATGCCAAAACCGGCAATCCCTTTACACTGTGTGTCCATGTCTCACTGTCTCTAGGTGAGGTCTGCCACAAATCTTACACGCAGTTCTCCAATCTCTGCCGCCACAAGCGCATGCACGCGGACTGTCGTACTCAGATCAAATGCAAAGACTGTGGGCAGATGTTTAGCACCACATCATCCCTAAACAAGCATCGGCGCTTCTGTGAGGGTAAAAATCATTTCGCTGCTGCCGCTGGAGGGTTGTTTGCGCAGGGCATGGCCCTCCCTGGCAACCCTGGCCTGGACAAGTCCGCACTGGCTGGAATGAGCCATGGGAGTCCTGGTTTAGCAGACTATTTTGGGACAAACCGGCATCATAGTGGGCTGACGTTCCCAGCAGCCCCTCCGGCATTCCCATTCAGTTTTCCAGGACTTTTCCCATCAGGACTTTACCATCGGCCCCCTCTAATCCCATCCACATCGCCCATTAATGGCCCTCCGAGCACTGAACTACGAAAGAGTCCACTGCTGTCCTCACCCATTTCTGGCTCACATGAGCTCTTGAAGAGCTTACGCAAGGATTCATTCAACGGGGAAAGCGAGAATATGGAGCGTCAGAGAGAAGGATCCATCTCTAAGCCAAGGCATGGCGGGAAGATGAGCGACCAATCGGAGAGTAGCGATCTGGATGATGTCAGCACTCCCAGCGGGAGTGAGTTGGAGAGCACTTCAGGTTCAGAGCTGGACAGTGAAGTGGAAAGTGACCGGGAACGGGTGCGAGTGCGGGAGAACGGAAAAGGACCAAAAAGGAAGTCCAGCGGGTTCAATGATGCCCAGAGTCCAACTCTTGTTAGCTCCAGTAGTAGTAGCAACACTAATAATGTCAAAGACTTCCCTGCGCCAGGGCTCCTACCGCCATCTCTAGATGAGCAAACAGCCGTTTCTGGTGCTGTTAATGACTCGATTAAGGCTATTGCCTCCATTGCTGAGAAATATTTTGGTTCTACTGGACTTGCAGGCCTGCAAGATAAAAAAGTTGGGGCATTGCCCTACCCTTCCATGTTCCCACTGTCTTTTTTTCCAGCCTTTTCTCCATCCGTCTATCCATTCCCTGAAAGGGAGCAACTTAGACCTCCAGGCCACAAAGGGGAACCAGAAAGCCCTCCGGTTGAGAGTAAAAAGCCTCAGGGCAGAAATGCTGAATCACCTTTTGACCTCACCACAAAGCGGAAAGAAGAGCGACTTGCTGCCACCTGCGCCCCTGTAAAACCAGAAGCCTCACACGTACAATCAACCAACCAGGATCAGCCGCTGGACCTAAGTCTTGGCAGACGAAACCGAGGAAAGAGTGAACGAGGGGAGGAGATAAAAAAGAGCTCCGCCTTTAGTGAGGAGAGGGTGGAACCTGAGCCACCCAAGACTGACCCATCCCTTCAACATGCAAGACCTATGCCGTTCTTCATGGACCCCATTTACAGGTACTGTCAATCACAAGTCCTTCCTACTCTCGTAGTGTAATAGAACAAACTTAATTTGGTTCGGCTCACCATGAGAACTGATAGAAGTTTAACATCAGCAGGGTTGAGAAGAGAAAGATGAATGATCCTTTCGAAGTCCTCAAGGACAAATACATGCGGCCGGCTCCTGGATTTCTCTTCCATCCACAGGTGAGATTTTCCCACCACTAAACAAATGTTAACACCTCATCTCAGTTCTAAATAAATCATTAGCCTATGTTTAATTGGCTTTTTCTATGCTACAGCAGTGTTAAATTGTTTAGTTCACACAAACATTTTAATTATGTCATTAATTACTTACTCTCACCTCCGTATGCCTGAGTCTTGAGTTCCTCATAGATGGCAAGGATCCTGACTTGTTCAAAGCCAAGAGTGGTACGATCTGAATATTTTCAAGCTACAAGAACACTTTCACCTTATAACACATGTAATGACTTAAAATAAAAGCTTTTTTTCTCCTCAATGTCAGTTTATTCACATATTATGCTTGGTTGCATCTCTGATCTATTATCTTATATGCACCTGTACTTTGTTTCAATCTGATGATGTTGCGCACAGACATTCAGGGTGTATACATCACTGCGAAGTGCTAGTGAGTGTGCGCAATATACTGACACTGAAGAGAAGAATCTGTTGAATAAGTCATTATTTTTGTTTTATGTGTGCATTCTTGTAGCTTGATATGATTCTGATTGAACTCCTGAAGGCATATAGTCAGTTTTGAGGATGTTCTTTGCTATTTTACAGCACTTTGAAGTGTAAAATATCTTAACTAAATTATCCCAAAGTATCTTAAGTTGTATTCCGAAGATCAACAAAGGTCTTAGGAGTTTGAAATGTACATAAAGGTGATTTGTGGGTGTACTTACCCTTTAATACCATCTGTTCCAGACTCAAACGATTTATTTCAGCACTATCATTTAGTTCAGTTGAGAGAAGTGGCGTGCAAATTTCCGGGTACAAATATCAAGACATCTTCCAACACTCAAACATATTACTTGCACAATTACCCAAAAAGAAAGTAGCGTAAGTGGAGGTGTTTGCAAAATATTTACACATATAAACCCTATACTGTCATGTTTACTATCATGGCAAACCACTTTCAGCTGCTTTAAAATCCGTTCTGCACGACCAAACGAAATCCAAAGCAATTTGAAACACTAACATAGCATTACTTGTCCCATTGAATGCAATTTCCACTATTGACAAAATACCCCGTCACGATGCCAGTATTGACGTAATAGCTACAGTATGTTGGCAGTAGCTTTACGGGGCCCCTGTGTTTTAGCATTAGCATAGCGACTCTCATGTTCCTCTGTGCGGTTCCTGATCAGGTCCAGATGCGAAGAGTTTTGTGACACGTCTCTGTGTGGGTGTCTTTGATTATGATGTCACAATACGATACCCTGTTAAACTGCCAGACACTGACCCATATGCCTAGATGGAGAATTGTGTGAGTGTGTGTTGTAAATCAATGTGATTTATGTGATTTGTGCATCTGGAATGAGTGGGTTTAGTGTGGTGAGTGTGTGGTTTTGGGCCTGAGTGTCTATGTAACCTCATTAGTGTGTATTAAGTAACCTGTCTGCTTTATGTCATTGTGTGTTCACTATCAGTGTTGTGTAAAAATAATACTTAGTTCTCGTATAACCCACCCCCCAACACACACACATACATGTCTGGCACACGTATAGACTCTGAAACCCACACAGACGCTCACTGGTGTAGTGTTTTATTGGCTGTTGCAGGACAGTGTTTTATGGGCTGTTTCATTGGCCTGATTTATTTCCCGAGTATGCTTTGTGTCTGCGCTAGATAATATCCACATGTGTCTGACACACTGCCTAACGAGGTGACCTATCGGCATCCTCTTTACTGCGCTGTGCTCACTGGACTCTCTAATCAGCAACAGAGATACTACTGACAGCCCAGATGTATTATGGGAAATAGAGTTCTTAACGTATACAGCATCAGTGAGACGCAAGGCAGTAAAGAACAATATACTCAATGGGAGGTCAAGGGAACTGCTAAGAAACATTGTTGAAATATTGGATATATAAATATAATATAAACTATTTAAGTTTACATTTTTGGAATTAAAATGTAATAATTTTATGGTCAGAGCACACAAGTTGGATTAATAAACAACAGCTTAATAAACAAATCAATAAATACAATGTATAAATTAATTAAATAAAATGTGACAGTGGAATTATTTAGAATTAATTTCAAATATATATTATTATTAAAAAAATATTTATAATTCTATTAATATTTATTTGTTTTTATCTTTAATCTTTCATTCCATCATAATAAAATGGTAGTAAAACAAACTGACAACTATGTTATATGTTATTGTTATTAACCATAGACTAAAAAATATGGTACGTAGCATCCGTGACGTCACCCATAGGCTACAAGTGGGTGTGGCCAGTTGTCATCATTTTGTTCGCATGTCATCGCGCTGACTGGGGGTTAACAAAAAAGAACAAAGAGGCAGAGCTACAGATGCCTGCTAGCATTTTGCTTAGACAGGATTTTCTTTGAGAGAAATGCTTAATAACTCATCTCCTGTGACTCGTTTGTGTTCTGACCACATGTGCTTGGTTGTATACTATATCAGTAAAGTATTTAGTCTTTTAAAAAACACTGTTGTAATACATAGAGCCTCTAAAGCATCGTTATGACGTTTTTGTTCTGAAGGAAAACGCAATATACTTCTGTTCTAGAGCCTACAGCTAATCAATCTGTCAGAGTGCATTCAAGTTCTAAAGAAATTATAAATGATAAAATAAAACAAATACAGTTATAGATATGGTATACTGTATATGTATTTAAGAATTTCACTCACCTGGGAAATGGAAGCCACTTGAATGGTTTGTGAGCATAATTAAGTGGACACAGCATGCTATATTATCTGATATTTGTTGAAAATAATTCCAAAAAGCAATTGACTGTGTAAAGCCACATAAAACAAAACAAAAATATGATGTATATGCTAAGCCATGCCCTTAATAATGCAGACTTAATATAACTTAATATAAACAAAACTGATGAGTTATTAAAAAAAATCACCCCCTCACAGTTGTCATAAAGGGTAATATTAGCTATGTACTAAAATCGTTCTTTTGTACCAGGCTGTAAACATCTTTTTTTCTGCTGTAAAGTTGGCCCTTTTAACATTGGGGTCTATAGAAATGTGCTCTATTATTTAGCCAGGACTAGCAGAATTTTGGTGAATTGCAGTTTCAGTTATTTCTGTATTCACTTCACGAGGGAGAACAGGATGTTGCCGCTTGTTATTAACTTATTAAAGTGCAATTGGAACTTTTATTTTTATAATTAATATTATTAATAAATTATTTTAATATAATGTATTATTTAAATAATAATAATAATAATACACTAATATTATTATTATTTTATTATTATTATTATATGTTGGATTAAATTATTATGAATTGTTTTATCTTTAATCTTCTATACAATCATAATAAAAATGACGGTAAAACAATTGGGCAACTACTGGGTACAATGAAATAAAAAACAATAACCAAACACCAAACTGCATAATCACACTCGATCAGTCTGATTCTTGATTTTGATTTGCTGTTTCCCTTCTGTCCCGCCCCCAGTTTCGCATGCCTGATCAAAGAACATGGGTAAGTTACTCCAAACAGAGTCATTCATTTTCTCGCATCAAACACACACATGCCTAATATTTCCATGCTACTCATATGCACACACCTTCACAATACTCATATAGTTGAAGGCAAACAAAAATCAGCCCTCCTGTGATATTTTCCTTTTCAAATATTTCCCAAACGATGCTCAACAGAACAAGGAATTTTTCACAGTATTTCCTATAATATTTTTTCTTCTGGAGAAAATCTTGTTTGTTTTATTTCAGCTAGAAAAAAGCAGTTTTTTTAAACCATTTTAAGGTCAAAATTATTAGCCCCCTTAAGCTATATATTTTTCAGATTGTCTGCAAAACAAGCCACTGTTATACACTGACTTGCCTAATTACCCTAATTAACTGAGTTTAAAGGTCACTTCAAGCTGAATACTTGTCTCTTGTAAAATATCTAATAAAATATTACATAAAAAAATAATTCTTTACATGTATATAGCTTTTTTGGACACTTTACACATTGGAGAGAATCTCCTCATCAACCACCAGTGTGCAGCATCCACCTGAGTGACGCGATTGCAGCCATATTGCGCCAGATTGCACACCACACACCAGTTGATGGTGGAGAGGAGACAGAATGATAAAGCCAATTAGTTAGAAGGCATGATGGACAGAGTCCAGTGGACAAATTTGGCCTGGGTACCAGGGTTAAACCCTACTATTTTCGAAGGACATCCTGAGATTTTAATCGACCACAGAGAGTCAAGACCACAGTTTAACGTCTCATCCGAAAGACGGCACTCACAGAGCAGTATAGAGTCCTCTTCACTATACTGGGGCATTAGGACCCACACAGACTGCAGGTTGCGCCCCCCCTGCTGGCCTTACTAACACCACCATCATGTTTAGAAATGTGTTGAAAAATACTCTCCCTTAAACAGAAATTAGGGGAAATGATATACAGGGGGGCTAGGAATTCTGACTTCAACTGTATACCAACACTATTAGCATGACATGGCAGATGTAATGCATGACTCAAACAAACAAAGCATAGACAGCTAAACATGGTCCAAAGCAATTTCGGCTATATAAGAAGATTAATGTTGGGTTGGTAAACTATCCAATCTTTTAAAGTCCTTCTGTTCAATGCATGGCAGCACATTGATTCATATCTTTTGATGTTCTGAATAATTAATTCACATAACCACCATTTAAATGAAACCACTCAGGCTGAGCATTGGAGAATGAATGAACTGAATGAATCCGATGTGTTCATGTGTCATTTGGCATGCCAGCATGTGTGTGTGTGTGTGTGTTAAGCAGACAGAACAGTTGTTATTTCTGATGGCTACCCCTGATAATGCAGCGAATGTGATTATTTATACAGAGAGAGTAACAGACCGCGGCTCTGATTCGGGGTGGCGACACTCCCGTACGGCATCGCATCACTGCAGGGGTAACAGTCTCTCTGGGACCCCTTTAAATGTGTCTGATAGCACAAGGGGGGTTTCCAAACCCAAGACATCTGGTGCCCTGATAAGATCAACAATTGAAAAAAAAAAAGGCTCTGGCTAATGAAGGGCCTCTCAGACGCACACACACACTGCTGAGAACGGGCAACTCAACAGCTGCCCCACCACAGAGAGAGCGTGAAGGCTACTTAGCCATCCAGGAAGTCCATTCGTTGCCGATCACAGATTCCTTTTGAGCTTTAGTTGTTACAGCAATCATAGAGATACTAATCTATGGTAATGTGTTTAGACTTTAAGGACCAATCATGTATATGGCTATAAAATATGCACTCTTTTTGGATGCACTTTGAGGACAAAATCTCTGGCTTGGTCAAATGTTTTATTGCTTTTTCAATAGCAGAAGACTTAATGGAGTCTGTTATGCTTCATGTGACTTTTCCATACAAATTCCTAGGGAACAATTTAAATAGACACAAGTGGGACTATTGTTGACATGCCGTAAGATCAAGGAGTTAGTTATAAAATTAATGTTGATAGTGCAGATATTTTGGTCTTGGGATTCTTTTACACAACAAACTGTGTTAAAAAAAAGACAATAAAAAAATGTACAACGTGTAGCACTAAGAAGTGGCCCGAATTAGAACTTTTGCTGTTTTGCTTTCCTGTCTGCACTCTATACTATCCAGTCAAAAATTAAAGGTATAACACGTCTATATGAATGCTGCAGTGTATGCATGCCACACTGTAAAAAACAACTGTTTGTATTTTGTGATTCACAAGTGTTTCCCGTTTATTTACGATTTTGAATTGCATTATGGGACCTTGATTGATGTTCGGTCTACATTTCGGTCTACAGTTTAACAAAGTTACTTTTTATAACATTTTAGTGGTTTGACATAATATAACGTTTAGGAATAATGTATAAAGAAATAAGTCTGTAAAGTCACAGAAAATGTACTAGCAGTTTATTACAAAGTTTTTGTAGCTTAATATACAACAACAACTTAGACAATATATCACTTTAAACTATTAAAAAATGTTTAAAAAGTCACGGTTATTATAGTTAACAAAAACGAAAAACAGAAAACTAACATTTTAAATAATTTTCATTAACTAAATTAAAAATAAAAACAAAAGTTTAAAGAAAAAGTAGAACTAACTGAAACTATATTGTGTTCATACAAAACTAACTGAACTAACTAAAATTATAGCAAAAACATCCTTCCTTTTCGTCTTTGTAAATGTATTTAATGGATAAACCTACAGTAAGTCTTTTAGAAGTAAATCTATTTACTTCACGCTGCCAGTTGGTTGACCCGGCACCTCAGAGTCTGTTAACCTGCTGCCAGGTTACTGGTTGAACTAATCCACCAAATCTAACTGAATCATTTGAAACGATTTGCGTATGCAGTAAACACTAATCAACAAACAACTTAATTATGCCTGATACTGCCCTCTGACTTTAAGTAAACCAATATGTAGTTATTCAGTTATTAGAACAGTACACCGAGATCAGATTTGAGAAGGGGTTAACTGATAATACTGTGCATGCATGATTCAGAACCAAACACAGTACATGACAGCCTTTTGTGACTGAACTAAACTTGGAACAACTGCAGCATAGGTAAATTGAGGGCTTAAATGAGAGCATCTGGCAAAAAAAAAAGTTTAAATGAGTGAATCATGCTTCAGTTGGGTTGCAAAACATAACTCTAAACATTTTTCAGATCATGGTGATGATTTGACAGGTTAACTGACTGAAATGCTTATTATTGCTGGCTATATAATTTTGGTACATTGAGTCCTAAGATGAGAGGATTGTCACAAAAGATCCGGTTCGCGTTTAAGATCTGAACTTCCCATCACTACTGTGTATCTAACCTCAGAAGCAATTAGAAGAATAGTGGTAGATGATAGTGGTCATGTGTCCTCTGAACACGTTTTAAAAAATGTATGGTGGAGTTTTTATTATACAATATTTTTTCTGATGATTTTAAATCTTGCACCTCACAAATAACCTTATTAAACCTAACCTTATTTAGAAACTTCTAAAATTGAGATGAATAAAGATTAAACTAAAACTAAGCAATTTTAATATATGAAAAAACGAATAAAAAATGGTAAATCTACCTCTACATGCTAATTAACCGAATTTGAAATCAAAAGGTCAAAATGATATAAAAACTAAAGCTAATGAAAAATCCTAAACTATTATAACATTGCTTTACAATTAAAAATGTCAATAAAAGTCACTTTTAAATTTTTTTTAAGGGTAAAAGTAGTTGGAATAAAGACCAAGGTCCCATAATGCAATTTAAAAGCATAAATAAATGGAGAAAAAATAAAAACATGAATTATAAAATATATAAAACTGCTAATTTACGGATATTTTTACAGTTCAAGCCAGTATTTGGCGGTGTCACTTTTTAAAGAAACACTATATATCCACACACTTACAGTCCTGTAATTCACCATTGTTGTTTTGGTTTTCAAGTACTCATGCTTGTCTTTAGGCTGAATGCATCATATGCTTGAACATACATATTCACAAAATCACGTTGTTTTAGCAAATGCAGATTTGATAACGATATTATTCCCAGAAACTTGCACTTTAGCTAAAAATGGTGTCATGTAAACAGCCCCTAAAATGGACTTTGTTGCAGATGATGATATCTTAGCAAGTCCAAACACAGATGGAGATTCATAAGCAATTACAGGGTATTTTTTGTCTAAGAAAAAAATTTGGGTGTGAGTAGATCTTGATTCAGTGCCATTAATATACTAATAATGAGACAATTAATTATTTAAAAATGACAGAATTGACAACTGTATTACAGGAAAATCAAATAAGTTCTTTAATCCTTCTATTCATAACAATATCCTGAAAAGTAACATTACAGTTTTCTATACACACTGTATATTGACAAGTAACATTAACATTTTCACAAAAATATGAGTAAGAGATGCTAATTAAATGTTAGCCTAGCATAACTAAAGGTATTGTTCACTTCAAAATGAAAACTCTGCAATTGTTTACTCACCTGTAAATTGTTCCTAACCAGTTGTTTTGTTCTGTTGAACACAAAAGAAGACATATTGAAGAGTTTGGGAAACTGATGACCATTGACATCCATAGTCAATGGACATCCATAGTCGTAAAAACAAATAAAAGTAATTTGTTATTAGTTTCCAACAATCTTCAATATGTTACTGTTGTGTTTAACAGAACAAAAAAAAGCAAACTAGTTTGAATAAAATCAAAGGTATGTAAATGATGGCAATACTCATTTTTGAATGAACTATCCCTTTAAAGACACTTTATGACAGTAGCTCATTATATACACTACTATCCCTCTGTCCATCATTGACTGTGATTAATGGACAAAGGGAGTCGCTGTATCCCTAATCATGCAGGTCTGACACTTCACTTCCTCTCAGAGGATGTGAGCCTGACGTTCCAATCGAGAACTTTAACTCCCAACTGTCATTCCTCATCAACCCTCCACATTATCTCATGTTGATCTTTCTCTCTTTCACTGGCCCTCTCTCTTCTTCCTCTCCTTTCACATGATACTTGTTAAGATTTATCCCTTCTTTCGTTCGTTCGTTTTCTTTCTTTCTTTCTTTCTTTCTTTCTTTCTTTCTTTCTTTCTTTCTTTCTTTCTTTCTTTCTTTCTTTCTTTCTTTCATTCTTTCTTTTATTTATTATTTTGTTAATTTGTTCTTTCTTTCTGTCCTTCCTTTGTTCTTTCTTTCATTGATAATATTTTTCTGTCTTATTCATTCTTTCTTTTGTTCGTTGATCAATTTTTTAGTTTGTTGAAAATTTATTTTGTTCATTTATTCTTTCTTTATTTGATTTATTCTTTCTTTCGTTCATTCTTTCTTTCTTTCTTTCTTTCTTTCTTTCTTTCTTTCTTTCTTTCTTTTTTGTTCATTCATTCTTTCTTTTGTTCACTCATTCGTTCTTTTGTTCATTCGTTTGTTTAATTTGTTCTTTCATTTGTTCTTTCTTTCTTTCTTTCTTTCTTTCTTTCTTTCTTTCTTTCTTTCTTTCTTTCTTTTTTGTTTGTTCTTTCTATTCTTTCATTCTTTCTCTTTCTTTCTTTCTTTCTTTCTTTCTTTCATTTATTCATTTTTTTTTTCATTCGTTGATTAATTTTTTCTTTGTTGATTATTTTTTTAATTCATTCATTCTTTCTTTAATTGATTTATTCATTCTCTTTCTTTCTTTCTTTCTTTCAATCTGTCTTTCGATCTTTCTTTTTTTGCTTGTTCTTTCTTTTTTTTTTCTTTCTTTTGTTCGTTCATTCATTTTTTTGTTCATTCGTTTGTTTGTTTGTTTGTTCTTTCTTTATTTCATTTGTTCTTTCGTTTGTTTGTTCTTTCTTTCTCTCTTTCTTTCTTTCTTTCTTTTGTTTGTTTGTTCTTTCTTTCTTTCTTTTTTGTTAATTCGTTCTTTCTTTTGTTCGCTCATTCGTTCTTTTGTTCATTCATTTGTTTCATTTGTTCTTTCATTTGTTTGTTCTTTCTTTCTTTCTTTCTTTCTTTTTTATTTTGTTTATTTATTCTTTCTTTTTTGTTTGTTCTTTTTTTGTTCCTTCTTTCGTTTATTCTTTCTTTCTTTCTTTTGTTCTTTCTTTCTTTCATTTATTGTTCATTCGTTTGTTCTTTCTTTTGTTCTTTCTTACGTTCATTTGTTAGTTTGGTCGGTCGTTCTTTCGGCCATTCGTTCCTTTCTTCGTTCCTTCTTTCTTTCTGTCTATTCCAAATCTGTAAAGTCAACATTTCCCATCAAACTCTTCTGAAAAGCCACCTACTCTGTACATTTAAAAAATCAAAGTCAGTATTTAAACAAAACGAAAGTCTACATTATTAGCCCTCCTGTGAATTTTTATCTTTTTTATTTCAAATATTTCCCAAATGACATTTAACAGAGCAAGGAATTATTTGTATTGGTTATATTTCCGCTAGAATATTTTAATAAAAAATAAAAACTTTTAAGGGTCAATTACCTTTTTTTGTTGGAAAATTTAAAGAAAAAGATTTCATACACTGAGATCTTTCACTTTTGATTAAAACCAAAATATTATTTCTTGAATTGAGATCTAGCTGAGGAGACTTCAGCAAGTCCCCATTGACCTTTCTTCGGTATCCAGACACGTCTTTCTTAGACCTTCTCTGATATTTTCTTCTGAAGGAAACAGACGTTGCTTTGTGCGTTTAATATATGTATGTCCGTGTGTCCTTCACTGTGAATCAGAACTGATTTGTCACCAAAACCTGAAATACGAAAAGGGGAAAATTCAATACACACGTGCAATAATGCAAATCCACAGCGCTTTCTGAAAGGCCTCAGTGTTAGGCTGCGGTTGATAGGCCCGTTCGCCTACAGGGACCCCCGACTCCCCCTCCCTCTCCTTCCTATGATATCATTATTACTGCTGTCTCAGCCTTGATCAGTAATGTCAACATCTTTCATATTGACGAATGTGCTGTCTGCTCATATTGTGCACTGAATGCTTTATGGCCAACATAGGACATGAATCACTCTTGCTCTTCAGCGCGCCTCACACACACAGTCACACTACTCTCAGGCCTTATGTTGTTCCCATTCTCTGGCTGACACACACATGTATCTCCTTCTCCTATGAGAGTGTGTCCATTTTCGATGAAAGCAACTGTTAGGCTTAATTAGAAAATTGGCAGCAGTTTCTCTGTGTGTGTGTTTGTGTGTGTGTGTGTGTGTGTGTGTGTGTGTGTGTGTGTGTGTGTGTGTTTGTGTGTGTGCGTGTGTACATGTGTGGTCCATTTTATAACATGCGTTGTTATTTGTGTTTGTGCGCCAAAATTGGACATTACAGATCAGCAAAAGCATTTCACACTGTTATTCGAGAGTGAAAGTTCACGGTCAGCGTTTTGCTACACACATCTGTGGTAGAAGCTCAGTAAATTGGAGTAACACAGTGGGATGTGTGTCTTTAAAGACCTCACAGTGAGGTAATAAAACATTTGTCTATCTCTCGCAGATGTCGGCGATTGAAAACATGGCTGAAAAGCTGGAATCCTTCAGCTCTTTGAAGCCAGACGGCGGTGACATCATGCGTTCTGTTCCCTCCATGTTCGACTTCCGGGCTCCACCCACTACACTTCCCGAAACACTGTTACGCAAAGGCAAAGAGCGCTACACCTGCAGGTAACACTCATTTACTTCTATAGCATGATGTACAAAGCTAATTGAAAACATTTGATCTATATACTATATAACAGTCCAACTAATTGAAAGGAAACAAGTTAATATACTATAGTATGTAAACAAAGTAATATAGAAATGACTTAGTAAGTTAACAAACAAATAAATCGATATACTATACTATACTATACTATACTATACTATACTATGTAAACAATGTAATTTAGAACTGATGTAGTAAAAAAACAAATCATTATACTATACCAGGGATGGGCAAACTTGATCCTTGAGGGCCGGTGTCCCTGCAGAGTTTTGTTCCAACACTAGTCAAACACACCTGAACAAACTAATCAGTGTCTTCAAGATCACTTGAACTCTATAGGGAGGTCTGTTTGAATAGGGTTGGAGCTAAACTGTGCAGGACACCGGCCCTCCAGGACCGAGATTGCCCACCCCTGTACTATACTATACTATACTATGTAAACAATGTAATATAGAAACAATGTAGTAATCAAACAAATCTATATACTATACTATGTAAACAAAGTAATATAGAAATTATATAGTTTTAAAACAAATTGATATACTATACTCTATAGTATGTAAAAAAAAAAAAAAGTAATATAGAAATTATATAGTAAACAAACAATCAAATCAATATACTATAGCATAGATTGTGAACAAAGTAATAAAGAAATTATATAGTAAGTAAACAAACAAACAAACTAATTGATATACTATACTTTACAGCAGGGCTGCTCAATCCTGTTCCCGTAGATCTACCTTACTGCAAAACACAGCTCTCACCCTGATCAAACACACCTGAACCAATTAATTAGGACCTGAACTGCACTTGATAATTACAGGCAGGTGTGCTTGAAATGGGTAGCAACTGAAATCTACAGGAAGGTAGATCTCCAGGAACAGGATTGAGCATCCCCGCTCTACAGTATGCAAGCAAAGTAATATAGAAATAATATAGAAAGTTAACAAATAAACGTATATATACCATAGTATAGTATGTAAACAAAGTAATATAGAAATAATATAGTAACCAAACAAACAAATCAATATAGTATACTATAGTATGTAAACAAAGTAATATAGAAATGATATAGTAAGTTAACAAACAAATAAATCGATATACTAAACTAAACTATACTATACTTTACTATACTATACTATACTATACTATACTATACTGTGTAAACAAAGTAATATAAAAAGTGATGTAGTTAAAAAAACAAATCATTACACTATACTATACTGTACTATACTATACTATACTGTACTATACTATACTATGTAAACAATGTTGTATACAAACAATGTAGTAAACAAACAAATCGAAATACTATACTATACTATACTATGTAAACAAAGTAATATAGAAATGATATAGTGAGTAAACAACAAATACATTTATATACTATAGTATAGTATGTAAACAAAGTAATATAGAAATGATATACTAAACAATCAAATTAATATACTATAGTATAGTTTGTAAACAAAGTAATATAGAAATTATAATGTAAGTAAACAAACCTGTTTTGTATTCTGTTTGTAATCAATCATCAAACTATAACTTAAAGCAACGCAACACTAATTTAATAATACATTTATATTTATTTATTTATTATGTAGCTTCTATTTATAGAGCGAAGTACAAGTTAACAATCTAAAATTAAATTTAAAGTAAACAAACAAATTTATGAAACATGTAGGAAATACACAAACAGAATTAAGCGGCTACTGTATACTGACAAAAAAAACAACACAATATATTTAATTATTAAAAAGCTTTTATTCTAAATTGTTGTTTATGCTGCAAACTTCTCAGTAATAATATATGGAAAATTAATATATAAATAATATCAGGATTTTAGGACTGTTATGGCCAAAACAACTTTATATAATTAATTTACATTAATAACAATAACATATATTTTTAAACATAAGTTATTTTGAGATATGTGTCAATTAGATAATACTTGGCAGCAAAATTGGTATAATATTATCTTTTATTATTAATATTAATATTAATATTATATTAATATTTTTATGTATTATCATTTATATATTATAGCCTACTAATAATATAGTATAATACAGTTAACAATATAACATTTTATATATTGTAACATGCTTAATTAGAGTAGACCGAAATATAATAATCAGTATTGCGTGCCAATGTTTATACTAACCCATGTTTGTTTAGTTTTTGTTTGTTTCATTAATAAGATGTTGAAGTAAACATTTGTTTGATGTTTAATGAGTGTGGACAGCGCTGAGCTGGAATGCAGGGGGTTTTTGAGAAATGTGTGTGTGTGTGTGTGTGTATTGCTGAGTATTGTTCCTGGAGATCTGTTTCCTTCCCCTATAGATACTGTGGTAAGATATCCCACGCTCGGCCAACCTTACAAGACATCTACGGACACACACAGGGGAGCAGCCTTACAGGTGACACACACGCACGAACACACAAATATAGAATGGATGATGTAATCTGGTATTTATATACTCAGCAGACTGCATGTAGCATGTGTGTAATACAGCAAACTGGTATAAATCATTAAGGTATAATCATTTATGCTGAGAGAATAACAGTTCTGTAGGATTATGGTTATTAGCTGAAGTACTTTGCCAATGTTAAGGTGGGACATTACACTGCTGTATTTATGCACCAGTCACTGTGGAAATTTTGAATTTTGGGTTATCATAGTGTTTTAAAAGTATTGTAATATATTATGTGTCTGCACATTTCAACTACAATGCATATTTTTAAAGGCTGTTTTCTTCAAATGAGTTGTTTTTCTGTATTCTATATTATTTTAATATTCTGAAGGTTTTTACTGAGAGATTTTTATGATAATATAGAGTTATATACAACATAGCAAAATCTTGGAATTTCTTCAAAGTTGTGAATCAAAGTAATCAAGTCTGAATTATGGAGAGATAAAAATAAAAATACAATATATAAATGCTATCATAATTGGAGGAATACAGAGATGACTGTAGTGTCACAAGCAAATAGAATTTTTTAATTGAGCTTGTTTTAAGTCTAAAAAAAAGGGTTAAAAAAACTTTCAAAAAGTGTACCCTATGTATTTGCCTGTGCATGGTGTTTCCCTTTAAGATGCAAAATGTATTGGAGGAGAGTATGTAAAATAACTACGAGGTGATAGTCAGATTAGTAGTATTTGCTATTAACACCCCCAAGAAACATTTAATTTTCCACCTGTGTTGGTTGTAGTTCACATGCACCTTATCATCATCTCCTCTGCTTGTTTATTACTAAATATGAGGTAGTTTTTGCACTACTTTTGAGTTCTGTAATTGATTTATTGTCAGGAGATCACTTTGTAAATCTATCCCTAAATGTCTAGACGCTGGAATATTGGGAAAATTTTGATTTTAGGACAGAAAAATGCCATGGAATGTAATAAAGTTGGGTTGGGCGAATAATCAAAGGTGTTTTTCATGTGCATCTTGTCAGTAAAGATGTTTCTGGTAAATATGCTACACAGAGCCATAGTTCATTGACAAATTAAGCAAAATGAATGATGATAACAACTGAGATAATAACACCAGTTTGAGTAAATTCTCAATGAGTAAAGGCACTGTGTAGTAAATGCTAGACATGAAATACCACATATTATAACATGTTTTTACTATAAACTTCAGTCTAGTGTTTAAAATAAATCCTTCTGAAATGATTCTGTAGTCATGTGGTTGTTAGTCATGCTGAATCAGTGAAAGCAGAAAAATTATTTATTCGTACTGAAACGCTAGTATCCGCTTGTTAAGTCTAACTTCACGGGAACCAGCTACTGGATCTAAGCAATCTATCAAACGGTATGGGGAGGCTCAACAAATGGTGTAATACTTTTAAAAATCATGATTGCAAAATATATAACCATGGATAATATCAGATGGCCAGAAAGTGATTGTTTTTTTTATAAAATGTTAAAATATTGATGTTTGTGATGCAGCAAGTCCAGATAAGGTTACTGTATGTATACCATGATTTTCTTTAAAAAAAAAAAAAAAAACTATTACTTTAATGCGTTAGTAGCGGCTTGGACCTGAAAACAGTATTCCTTATGTCAAGTGGATAGAGTATACCCACACAAGAGCGCCCTCTGAGATGTATTACTGAACACATACTGTAACTGTTCTTCCCTGACAAGATGTGCATGAAATCCCATTTTGCGATTTCACTTTGATGAATCGCCAATCAAAATCTTAAAATATCACACAAATTTGAGATGCACAAAATATCAGCGGCCATATTGATATAGGCTGATAAATGTTATATTTATTGTTAGAGTTATCGCTCTGATTTCAAAATTATTCCAGTATCTTTAAGCTGATAAATTATGTATTATTTCTGCAGGTTGATCCACTTTACATGCTTGCTGCCTGCTACTTTTTAATTTTATTTTACTGGTATTTTGATTATGGTTGAGGTTCCCTAAGATAGATGGTTGCTTTATTTATGATTTTTTAAAACAAGGAGAAAATTTATTCACATAAAAAAGTTTGGCTCAGAAATGAATTGTTGTTAAATAAAGCCCAAAGTTCAGTTCAGACTATTCTTACTTTTTTAATAGTTGTTGACTGTATGTGTTTGTCTTATATTTATTGGCTAATACATCAGATAATTATTGGCTAATATCGGTAGAGCTATCGGTATCTGTATCTGAAGTTTTTTTTTTTTTTTTTTATAAAATCAGAGGTTAACTGTATGTGTTTGCCTTCAGATGTTGGCAATCATGCATAAAAATATTTATTATATGTATTATATTTATTGGATAATACATCACAGAGTTATCAGCTAATATCGGTAGAGTTGTCAGTATAGGTATATAAGTTTTTTTTTATAAAATAAGTTGTTAGCTGTATGTATTTGCCTTCAGATTTTGGCAGTCTTGCAGAGAAATTAGTATTTATATTTATCGGCTAATATCAGTATATGTATTGGTATTGGTATCTGAAGTTTTTAAAATAAAATCAGTTGTTAACTGCATGTGTTTGCCTTCAAATCTTGGAAATCATGCAGAAAATGTATATTTATATTTATCAGCAAAAAAATCTGAAACTTATCAGCTAATATTGGTAGAGTTGTTGGTATTGGTACCTGAAGTTTTTATTTTAATAAAATCAGTTGTTAATTGTATGTGTTTGCCTTCAAATGTTGGCAATCGTGCAGATTTTATTTTTTTTTTATATTTATTGGCTAATATATCTGAGACTTATCGGCTAATATCGGTAGAGTTACTTGTATTGGTATCTAAAGTTTTTTTTGTTTGTTTTTTAATAAAGTTTTTAACTATTTGTGTTTGCCTTCAGATTTTTGCAATCATGCAGAAAATGTATATTTATATTTATCGGTTACTATATCAGAGAATTATCGGTTAATATCGGTAGAGTTATCAGTATCGGTATAGTAAGGTTTTTTTTATTTTATAAAATTAGTTGTTGACTGTATGTGTTTTCCTTCAGATTTTGCAGTCTTCAGAAAAATTTATTGGCTAATACAGCAGAGAATTATCGGCTGATATCGGTAGATTTATCGGCATTTGTCAAAAATTCCATATCGGTTGCATCCCTGTAATAAAATCAAATATTTTCAGAGTATTCTTTGAAATATGTCACTAAGAATGATTGAGCTGAAGTACAGACAGACAGGGAGACTGAAGGAAGTGTGCATGAATAATAGAGGTGCTGACTGTTGTTCAGCTGCGGGCCAGCAAAGGCAGCTGGGTAATTAGGCCTCGGACTCTTTCAGGGAGTTTTAAAACACTGCAGAGGAACAGGCGTGCGCGTGCACACACTGCGTTTGTGGTCCATCTGACCACAGGGGAGGTTTGTACAGGCCTGTGTTACTTTCCAGATAGCCTCAATCTCCTCGTGCTGGCAGGGCTTTAAAGGAGCCGCTGATCAGCCTTTAACTGCTATTTAATTTCGATTTTTTTTTTGTTCTGTCGCTTTCGGAGGAGAGAGAGTCGGAGAGATAACAGGTTCCTGGGAGACGCAGTTTAGCGCGTAACTCCACGGGTTGCAGGGAAGATATGATCACGTAATCATACAGGATAATTCTGCGTGAAGAGACTTGGCAACCGCATGAGCTTTTTGAGCGGAGGGAGGATGTGGAGTTTTGAGTGTTACTGAGTTGGCCAAAGATTAGAGACTCAGAGTTCATGACCACTCAATCATGTGTTTGAGACCCTGCGTGTGTGCGAGACGGATAAAGCAAGAGAGAGAGTTGTGAAATACAGTGTTTGGTTAATTAAAGTCGTATGCGTCTTTGTGTCCGCAGATGTAAGTATTGCGATCGCTCGTTCAGCATTTCGTCGAATCTTCAGCGCCACATCAGGAACATCCACAACAAAGAGAAACCCTTCAAATGCCACCTGTGCGACCGCTGCTTCGGGCAACAGACCAACCTGGATCGGCATCTCAAAAAACACGAGAATGGTAATTTAGCAGGTAGACACACACATATGAATAAAAAGCCGACATTTTAGATCTTCTTTTATGAATGCGTATTTAATATGCGGAGTCTTATGTATAGATGATATTAATTGTTGTTTGTTGTGTAGGCACAGCAATGTCATCACCTCGTTCAGAGCTGGACAGCAGCAGTGCCATCTTGGAGGACAAGGAAGACTCGTATTTTAATGAAATACGAAATTTCATCAGTAATACGGCTCGAAATGCCACGTCTCCATCCCAGTCTGAGGAAGGGTAAATATAGTCTTCTTTTGCACTGATAAATGCAGTTCATATGCAAAGACCAACTTTTATTAGGTGTAACTGCTGACTTGCTGTCAAACAAGTGGTTTAATATTTTACATATCTTCACATCAGTCCAATTCATCATTTATTTCCTCCTATCAAATCTGATCATTTTAATTTAATACATTTTTTTATTTTATTTTATTTATTTTTTTGTTTAATTTAATTTAATTTTTGTTTATTAATGTTCATTTTTTAACTTAATGTATTAATTTTATTTAAAAAATTTTTATGTATTGTATTTTATTTATTTATTTTTTTAGTTTAGTTTTTATTTTAATTTTTTTAATTTTAATTTATTGCATTATTATTATTTAAAAATCACATGGATTCCGATTTACTCAAATCAAACTCAAGTCTTGTTCATATGTGAGAATTTATACGATATGAATCGGATCCGTGCTCGCATGTCGGCTGTGTAAGCAGGTAGATCTGAATTTTACCTGTTAATGCAAGTCGCGCATCATTAAAAACCATATCAAATGACGTCAACTCGCTTGCATTCGGAACAGACTTCAGCAGAGTCCCAAACCTTAAATCTCATAACTGAGGACTAAAAAAAGCTTTTATATTGTCATGTAGGACAAGTATTTAGGCATGTTAATGCGAGAGAGAGAGAGAGAGAGAGAGAGAGAGAGAGAGAGAGAGAGAGAGAGAGAGAGAGCACAACATCCGCCATATAACCAATAAAAACTATAATTATATTTATATATAATTATATAAAACTAAATTATATATGCATAAATCATGCCATGGACATTACATTAAGATGATTGCTGCTTTAAAAAGGCTAGATTAAAAGAAATGTTAAAATGAGAATAGTGCGGACGTAGCAAGTGCTCATTCGGTACAAGGTACAGCTAAACAGATGTGTTTTCAGTCTTGATTTGAATGTGCCTAAAGTTTGAGCACATTTAACCTGGTAGCTTTATTTAGCATAAATAAATAAAGATTTAAATAAATAAAGTGGATCCACCCTGCTTTGACTCTTGGAATTTATAGTTTATTTAATCCGAAAGATCTGAGTGATCTGTTAGCTTTGTTTTCAGTTAGCATATCTGTAATGTAATGAGGTCCAAGGCCATTTAGGGATTTACAGACAAGTAATAATACTTTAAAATCTATTCTGAATGCACTTGGAGCCAGTGTAAAGAACTGAGGACAGGTGTGATGTGCTCTGATTTTCTGGTTCTGGTCAGAATCCTGGCAACAGCGTTCTGGATGAGCTGCAACTGTCTGACTGTCTTTTTGGGAAGTCTAGTGAGGAGTACATTACAGTAATCCGCCCTGCTGGTGATAAAAGCATAAACAAGTTTCTTTCAGTCTTCACTTGAAACAAAGCATCTAATCCTTGCAATGTTTTTGAGATGAGAGTATGCTGATTTAGATACTGTTTTGATGTGACTACTGAGGTTTAAAAAAGATCTCAAATCCAAAATATTTTATTAACTATGTGTAAATGTTATTATATTATATGTATTACATAATTAGGTTTAGATTAGATAATTATTTATATTTTCATAAAGGCTGAATTAAGTATTTACATAGGTTCTTAATCCACATCATAATTTTCTATACTTCTGTTAAGTGGTTTGTGCAGGTGACAAAATATGAATATCATATAAATATTCACATCAGCCTAAGTCAGCATTTTTTTCCTCCTATCAGATCTGAATAATTTAATTTATTTTATTTTATTTGAATATTATTATTTTTTTATTATTATTTTTTAAAGTTTTCATTTTTATTACATGTTATTATAAAATTATTTAAGATTTTTTATAATTATTATTCGCATAGAGTAATGAAGTTTGCCCTGCGCACTTGCGATTTTAAAAAAACGTTTTGGTGCGTTAATCTTGTCAATACTATTGTTCAAAAGGTCATGATTCGAACTCATCAAATAATTGCTTCGTACAGTTTTTATTTTACATTCTTCTGGTGATACAAAACACTAACATTTCGGCACAATTCCTTCCTCAGTATGTGACACGATACTCTCACTCCACCCTTTTGTCCCACAATCCATCACATTGTGTCATTGGTTAGACGGCCACTCGATCTCATTTTCATTTCACTATACCGTAATTAACCACACAAGGATTATTATTATTATTATTCAACATATTTTCTTTAAGTTTACCTTTTTTTCTTTTATTTAATTATTTTTTGCAGTGCCAAAAATTAAACACATATTATGTGTATATTTTTAAGTATATTATTTTAAATGTATTATGTTAAATGGGAGTCATGGTGGGCGAAGTGGGTAGCACAATCTTCTCACAGCAAGAAAGTCACTGGTTTGAGTCCCGGCTGGGTCAGTTTACATTTCTGTGTGGAGTTTGCATATTCTCTCCATGTTCGTGTGGGTTTCCTCCGGGTGCTCTGGTTTCCCCCACAGTCCAAAGACATGCGCTATAGTTGAATTAAATAGACTAGATTGGCCGTAGTGTATGAGTGTGTGAAAGAGTTTGTATGGCTGTTTCCCAGTGATGAGTTGCAGCTGGAAGGGCATCTGCTGTGTAAAACACATGCTAGATAAGTTGGCGGTTCATTCCACTGTGGCGACTCCTCATTAATAAATGGACTAAGCCGAAAATGAATGAATGAATAATAAGTATATTTTATGTTTACATTTTAGATGTTTACATAAAAGCTAGGTGAACTACACGCAGTCAAGTGTGGGCTCACATACACACGCATACACTCTCACACAGATGAAGTGTCCATTAGTCTGTCAGTCATCAGTTGTCGCTAGTTGCCTCCGGCAGAATGGAGGTTATTATACACAAACATTACTGAACACAACACTTCTCATGCCTTATTCATTAACCCTCACCTCTGAGTGAATAGCAGCACATGAAAGGAACAGGCCAGTGTAGTAGTGTGTATCAACCGCACATGTGAGCATATCTGTGTGTGTACATATATTCAGTACGGTTGTTAATCATTAGCCTGTCGCCTGCGGTTTCTGAGAGCAAAGATTAGGGCAGGTCTCCAGGAGAACGTGATTACTGATTGGCCGATTGTGAGCGCGTGCAGAACGCTGTTGACTTTTGGCTGCGTGCACATACATGAATTTTGCCATCTGCATATGATAATTATGGCCGATCATTTCCCAGCAGTGATCATCAGGTTGGATGACGTTTTAAATGTTTGACCTGGTCATCCGTCTCTGTGTGTGTGACAGATTGAGTCAGATAAAGATCTTACAGGCTTTTGTTTTTTTTAATTCTTCATTGTTTCATTAAAAGTCATTACAGCATGGACTATGTGTGTGTTTGTGTGCGTCTCACATCTGGACCCAACATGTGTTTGTGAACAGGAAGTAGGAGGTCAGAGGTTGCTGGATGTTTCCTGTCAGAGTGACTGCTCCTGATAGATACTTTATCCTCCACAAATTACCACAGCTCTCTCTAATTAGTCGATGTGTTTTCATCATCACGCCATCGCTGCCTCTCTCGTTCCCTCTCACGCAGTATTAGGGGTGCGGAGTGATGAAAGAAGGTGATTTCGGGGATTATCCGAGATGTAAAAAGGGCTTTGCGCTGTTAACCCCATGGTGAAACGCTAATCTGGGGGGAAAACAGAGATGTGAGTCTGAAAGAGATGGAGGTGAAAGATGAAACTGGAGTAAATGTTATTGGTCAGAGGTTGCTCTTTTGGAGAACTGCAGAGATGACACACTGGTTGTGTTTTATGGATAGATGGATGGATGGATGGATGGATGGATGGATGGATGGATGGATGGATGGATGGATGAATAAAATAAAGGATGGATGGATGGATAGATGGATGGATGGATGGATGGATGAATGGATAAAATAATGAATGGATAAATGAATGGATGGATGGATGGATGGATGGATGGATGGATGGATGGATGGATGGATGGATGGATGAAATGAACAAAACAATGGATAGATGGATTGATGATGGATGAATAAAATTGGATGGATGGATGGATGGATGGATAAATAAATAAACAATTTATGGAAGGATGGATGAAGGATGATGGATGGATGAATAAAACGATGGATGGATGGATGGATGGATGGAAGGATGGATGGAATGAACAAATCAATGGACGGATGGATGGATGGATGGATAAAATGAACAAAACAATGGATTGATGGATGGATAAATAAAACTGGATGGATGGATAAATAAAACAAATGATGGATGAATAGAATGATAGGTGAAGGATGATGGATGGAATGAAAGAACAAACAAAATGTATGGATGGATGGATGGATGGATGGATGGATGGATGGATGGATGGGTAAAACGATGGATGGATAGATGGATGGATAGATAGACGGATAGACATAAAACAATGGATGGATGGATAAATAAAATGATGGATGAATAGATGGATGGATGGATGGGATAGATGGATAAAACAATTGATGGATGGAAGGAAAGATAAAGGATGATTGATGAATAAAACAATGGATAGATGGATGGATGGATGGATGGATGGATGGATGGATGGATGGATGGATGGATGGATGGATGGATGGATGAAATGATCAAAACAATGAATGGATGGATTGACGGAATGAACAAAACGATGGATGGATGAAGGGATGGATGGATGGAATGAACAAAATGATGGATAGATGGATGGATGTATAAATGGATAGATGAACAAACAAAACAATGAATGGATGGAATGAACAAACAAATGGATGATGGATAAAATCAATAAACAAACAAAATGTATTAATATAAATATGAATATCGATAATTGAAAGCTTGATAGTTGGAACAAATGACAGATATAAAAATGGCACAAACAGAACATGGATAAAATAAAAGATGGATGCAGGGATGGATGAAAAAAAGCTTATGGTAGGATAAGATGAGAGTTGGATCTGAAGCTAATTATGGATGGATAATATAAATTCATAAAATTTATATGGATGATAAATAACTGGATAAATATCTCAATAGAATGATAATGAAACAAAGAAATGAAGGATGGATGTTTGGATTGATGAATGGGTGGAATGTTTGGTAGTTCAATCGATAGAACTAAGGATCGATAAATAGAAAAACTAAACAGATCAAACAATGGAAGTGGACATAATGATGGATAGGTGGACGAGTGAACAATGGATAGATGGATGAACGAGGGGATAAGATAACTTAAACCAAAATTAACTAATGACTGAGAGATTATATTTATTTGTTAAGACTTCAGATTTGTAATTAAATGGAATATTTATCAGATTTTTTCATCGTGCAACTTTACACACAGGCTTGTACAGGTCTTTTTTTGTTTGTTTGTTTGTTTTGTTTAGTAATTTTGTGATTGTTCTGGTCTTTTTAAAGGTGAAAACTTACTATTAGTAGGTGGAGTAAAGAGTAGAATCAGGACAGAACGTGTAAACCAGTCTAATATGGCGTCTGTTTTTTTTTGTTTGTTGACATGTCTAAACACAAAAGTGTATAATGACATATTACATATCTATTAAAAGGAGATGATAAATTATTAGGACATAATTACTGATGTCCCCATTTCTTAAAAAAATCTTCTAAATCATACAGAATGAAACTGTACACAGTTTTCCAATGGGTCTAGTGGTAGGACAATATAAAATGCAGTTTGTACACTATAAATACAGCGGAAACCTATGGAATGTCCTCGCAATTCACAAAACCAAACCTGTGTGTGTGTGAGTTTAGATAGCTGGCCTCTGTCTCTGTGGGGAAATGACTGCTTTGGCAGCTCCTTCTCTCCACTCACCAAATGGGCTGTCAGCTAAATATTTGGCCTATTAGATGAATTGGAGATAAAGAAGAAAATAAACTCGGGAAAGAGGAGATGTGAGCAGTCTGAGTGAGAGAGAGCGCGCTGAAAATAAGTGAGAGGAAGTGTGGAGGTCTGCTGTGTAAGTGGCCTGGCGATGGGCGGCTGCTTTCTGCCAGCCAGAGGCCCTCAAACCTGATGACAAACAGCCTCTTTCTGCAGCACACACACTTACACTCTTTCTTTCAGCATTTCCTCTCATTTAGAAAGCGTGGGCATGTGGTTCAGCTCTTTAAGCTGGTTTATTTGTTTGAGCCAAACAGAACTTGGTTTTCAGCGCTAAATGATTTTCTCTCTGTAATCAGGGATCGGCATATCGGCCCAAAAAAGTCGATGTCGACATAACGTCATTATTTCTCTCTGCTCTCCTCAGGCTGAACGGGAGTCATTTTGATGGAGATAAAGCTCTGTCCGGTCAGGGGTCACGTGACCTTGATGAAGAGGAGGGGGAGGAGCTTGGAGCAGAGGAAGAGGAGGCGGAGCATAACGACGGTGCTAGGAAAGCGGGCGATGACGGAGTGCCAAGCAATCTGGATCAAGACATCATAAATGACGACATGGATTTTGAGGGACAGGAGGATCTAGAGATGAACAGTAAATCTTCACCGCAAAGGTACACCTACAGGAGTTTAACTCATCTTTATTTCTATTGACCTTATGCTTTACGTGCAACTAGGCGCAATCATTTAAATCTATTTGGCTTAAGACGTCTGGGCTCATTCACTTCTATTAATTTTTAGACTTTACAAACAGCTCGTTATTCTGCTTGATGTTACAAACTGATGTACTTAATGTACTTTTTATGTGTAGTCATGAACACACTTGCTTGTAGAGCGAGATTGTTTTCTGTCGTTTATTATTCCAAGTCACTTCTTCTATAGGTAACTAAATTGGAAGTTCGAAAACAATTGCAAAAACAAGCGTACTTTCACATCACAATTAGGTCAGTATCGCTTTTACAGTGTAGACCGTCAAAGCTGCTTAACATAGATGATGTTCTAGTGAACTGAAACTGCATCTGTCTAGTTTTTACAGTTAAAATTTTGTTCATTGTAATGTAAATGTCACTCCTATGGAGCCAGATGCCAAAAAGAATACATTTACAAAATATGACTCATACATCCAAAACACAATTCGCATTTACAAAATCAAAATACACAGACAGTTCGTAAATTAAACACACGATTCAAAAATACACAAATCCAATTCGTAAATTTAAAAAAAAAATGGATCAAAAATACACAAATACAATTTGTAAATTAAGAAAACTATTTGAAAATACACAAATTCAATTCGTAAGTTCAAAAAAACGTTTAAAAAATACACAAATACAATTCGTAAGTTCCAAAAACAATTCAAAAATACACAAATACAATTCGTAAATTGAAAAAAACGGATCAAAAATACACAAATACCATTCGTAAATTACAAAAATTATTCAAAAATACACAAATCCAATTCATAAATTCAAAATACGATTCAAAAATACACAAATACAATTCATAAATTCAAAAAAACGGTTTAAAAATATACAAATACAATTTGTAAATTAATAAAACAATTAAAAAATACCCAAATACAGATCGTAAATTTAAAAAATGATTTAAAAATACACAAATCCAATTCATAAATTCAAAACACGATTCAAAAATACACAAATACAATACATTAATTCCAAAAACAATCTAAAAAATACACAAATCCAATTCATTTGGCGAAAATATTTGATTTTTACTTGTGAATTCACAAATTGTGTGCTGTATTTATGAATTGTGTTTTGAATTTACAAATTGGATATTGTAAATGTGAATTGCTGTGCGTGTATGAATTTTATTTCATAAATGTATTATTTCTGAGACTGATCTGGCTCCTTACACTACTGAAAGCCTAAGCACTGAAGGGTAAATCCAGTGATGTGCATCTCAACAAATCCCAAACCAGTGGCAGGGAACGAACTTCACCAATTGACGAAAGTGAAGGAAAACTAACCTTGTGAAAAAACAGGCATAGCTGGGCTTGATCAGTTCACCACTTGTGCAGGTTATGTTCGTTCATTTTATGGTTGGGATCTAACTGAATCTGAATCATTTACAGGTTTGATGAGGATGACGAAGATCAGAGCAGCTTCTCCACGCTGGATCACATCCGTCACTTTAGTATGGAGGATGGGGATCTCAGCGACGGGGATGTCAGCAGCTTTGGTCCCGCCCACCTGCAAGAGGGCATCAAGCAGCCTCTCTACAGGAAGTCAAAGTCGCAGGTATGGCCATTACTGTCTAACTGCTAATCTTATAAAGATCAAAACCTATTAATGATGTTTGCTATATTATTTAGGCATTTATTTGCCCTTTATTGATATTATTTATATAATATCAGCGAATCATTTAATTAATAATATTGTATGATAACTGTAAACATAAGATTTATTAATAATTATATTAATAATAATAATTATAATAAGTGTTTATGATGGCAAAAATGTTGTATATAGTTACTAGGTATTGTAATTATTGTTTTAAATTTTTATTAAATCTATTAATATTGATATTACTTACTAAATTTAACTAATATTAATAATTATTTACAAGTATAAAATGTTTATTAATTTAATATTTTAATAAAATTATATATAGGTGTGTGTACATATATATATATATATATATATATATATATATATATATATATATATATATATATATATATATATATATATATATATATATATATATATATATATATATATATATATATATATATATATATATATATATATATATTTTTTTATATTTTAGTTATATTTATATATATATATATATATATATATATATATATATATAAAAAAAAAAAAAAAAAAAAAATGTGTATAAAAATCTGAATCACTCTATCACTATCACTCTCTCTCTCACTATCTCTATATCTATATATCTACATATTATATATTTGTAACTGTGAATCTGTCTTTGTTTATAGGCATATGCTATGATGCTGTCTCTAGCCGATAAGGATCCACTTCATTCGTCTACCCATAATGCCCCAATGTGGCACAGTTTGGCCCGTGCTGCAGAACCCAGCGCCATTCAATCTCTCAGTCACGTATGACACCCTGAGGGACTTAACATTCTGCTACACGACAGCCAGAGACGCTGGTCCACAAACACACCGCACAAGAGACAAGTGCCCGAATCCATGTAACACACACACACACACACACACACACCTTCCCCATAAACATGAACAAATCATTGATCAAGTAGGAATGACAGTAGTGTTTGATGG